AGGTAGGCACTGGGAGATCTCTTTCCACCGCTGGGACAGACAGGACGGCGACCTCCCTGGGCACCCATCAAGCCTTCAGTCGCCAGGCTTGCATAGCTCACCACGCTGGTGCGATCCTCATGGACCCAGTTGAATTAGATAAGCATGGGCTCAGAATGAAGAAGTAGGCAGAAAAAGCATCCAAAAAGGTTCTCATTACATTCTCCCTGTAGTGGTGGGGAGGCTCAGTGGGGGCACTTTTACCAAAGACGTGGGGGTGCGGGTCTATGTAACCCCTAGCCTGTGAATGCTGGTTTTTTCTATCCAAGTTGCAGGGTCTCCTTCCACAACACAGAGAGGAACTTCCCCCCGCCCCACACACAGGCATAAGTGGCTGGACTGGGAGCACACGGTGGAAGAGGAGGGGTCAGTGGCCCTTCGTTGCAGAAGAATGATATAACCCCTGAAGTCTGAAAGCAAAATGCAAGTCTGGGAAGGCAGGCAGCTATACTTCCTTGAACCATTTGCTCTGTGTGCTTTACTGAAACTGTACAGGTTGTGTGGAAACAAGGTATGGCCCAGTGTACCTAGGACACACCAGGTGAGCAAGTTAGCAGCTCAGGTTTCTTTACTGCAGGACTTCTCAGAGCCTTTGCTGGGAATCATCAATCACCAGACACAAAGCCTATGGCCATGTGCAGAATTTTCCAAACTTGCTTGAGTGTGGAAACCTTACATGTGCGGGATGAGTAGTACGGGGGTGCGGGGAACGTGGGCACATGTCCATTGGTGCGTGTTTGCATGTGCATGTCTGTGAGTGTGAGCGTGGTGTGCCCATGGGACGCGTAAAGAGTCTCCCAGTCACCCCCCTGAAAAATACAACAGAGCTATTTACTTGAGACACCAAAGTCAACATCTTGGTGACTACTGTGTCAGGATCCGTATTCAGCCTTTCTCCTGGCTAGACCCCACATCTACAACTTAGTTACTGAGGTCCAGGCAATGACTCCAGTGTCAGAAATATCCTAGGGCAGTTTGCACCCTGACTCCCAGAACCCTCTGTCTCTGCGAAGGGGGTTGCTTTGAGGAATCTGTAAGGACTCCAGATAAACAGAGTAGTGATAAACCTCAGTCTTGGCATGAGGGGAGTCCGCTCCGCAGGGAGAAGAGCAACAGGCAGATGGGAAAAGGTTAAGGATCTGTGGTCTGTGCTCATGGAAGGAAGTGAGTGCAAAGAGAACTAGTTGAATGTTGATGTGGGTAGAATTCCTACCCTAGCCCTTTCCAAAAGCCCTATAAAAACCCCAAAAACCAAAACAAACAAACAAACACACAAAAAACAAACCAACATAAAAAAACACCTCTTTTCTTCCAGAGCAGCTTTAAACGAAAACAAATTGTCTTGTCATCTTAGCATGTACTAGTGAAGAGTGCGTTTATGCCCCCTTGGGACCCCTTCCCCCTTGGATCTACCAGGTGCTAAAGGGCCCCCCCACCTCCCCCCACCCCCCACCCGAGGCTGTCCAAGCTGTGGGCTGCATTTGTTGATTTGTTTAAGAGGCAAGTGGGGCTTACCACTCTCCCCCCTGCTGACCATCCTAAATCATGCTGCCCTCCAGCTTGTGGGACGGAAGCCTCAAAGAGCCAGGGCCTGGGCCTTACTTAGCATCTGTGAAAGCCAAGCAACCCAGAAACTTGAAAGGGTTTCTCAGCCACTCCCTTGAGAGAATGCCATCAATTAATTTTGCAGCTTCTGGTCATGCCAGAAAAGCCTCAGGAAGTCGGCTTGCTGCTCATCTCTACTTCTTCGGGTTTTAGCAAGCATTGGAAACCGAGCCCATCGGCCCTATAGTCCACAGCCTCTGCCAAAGCGTCTACAGTGAGCGTTGAGTTTTGCCCTTTGAGCGAAGGCTTTGTGGAGGAAGGAACCTGGGGCCCAAGGGGAGGAATGACATCGAAGAGAAGGTCATCACCATAGAAGAAAATAGTCTGAAGTCTCCCAGCGTCGGGGGTGAAAATAATATTTCTTTTCCAGACTCAGAAGCTCGTGGGAAAATGTCATGTTTGAACTACATAACCTGGGCAAGAGGTTGACAAACGCTCGGGCTCCAAGCTGTGAGGTTGCTTCTGCTGATGATCCTGTTTGGAGTCTCTGTGGCTGAAACACGGACGTTGGACGTTTGAGCAATCGCAGATGACCACGGCCCGCAGGGAGAATGCCCTGCCATTAGTGATAAGGCCTCTTGAGAAAGGCCACACCACTCCCGTCCAGCCTTTCAGGGTGTGGGGAGCTGCCGCAAAGCTGTTTACCTGTCAAGCATCTTTAAGCATCTTGATGCAAATTTTTGTCCTTGTGTGCTAAATTGAGGGGGATTGACCAGGAAAAGGGTAACAGCTTTAGGCAAGTAGAACCTTGTCTGGAAGAGAGAGACCAAAGTGTGGTCAGGCAGGGGTGGAGGGTAGGGTGGGGAGGGGGCAGGGAAGGGGCAGTGACAGCTAAGATGGAGCATTGACCCCTTAACACTCCAGGTCACCAGACTCCTAACAACTCAGATTTGCAGGGTTCCCAGAAGCATTCATACATAGTTTTATGAAGTCCACTTAGAATTTTATTGCTTTTTAATTTATTTGATTCTATTTTGCTTAGGATTTCATTGTTTTTATTTATTCTTTTTTTTTTTTTCCCCATTCGAGTGTAGTTCTGGATTTCACTGGTTTTAACTTAATGAATGAACCCTCATTTCTAGGGGCAGTTTTAAGTACATAGTTTTGTTTATGAAGAGGATTTTATTTTTTTAATTGAAGGCCTCCGAAAAGCCTATAAATTATCCCACTCAAACAGTTCCAGGCAAGGATTTTTGTTATTGTTATTCTAGGATGGGACTCTCGTCTTTTAATTATTATTACAAAATACAGGAACATACAGATCAGAAAAAGAAGATCTCTCAATTTCATTCCTAGGAGATAACCACCATTAATCACTGCTGTGCCTCATGTCAAAAATTTTAGTGTGCATATGAAGTATTTTCTGTTTGTGACAACAATTAAGGCAAGGAACTTTAGAATTGGCTTTAGGGGGGCACCTGGGTGGCTCAGTGGGTTAAGCCTCTGCCTTCGGCTCAGGTCATGATCCCAGGGATCGTGCCCCCTTCGGGCTCTCTGCTCAGCAGGGAGCCTGCTTCCCCCTCTCTCTGCCTGCCTCTCTGCCTACTTGTGATCTCTGTCTGTCAAATAAATAAATAAAATCTTAAAAAAAATAATTGGCTTTAGGTAAGTAAAAATAATATACATTTTTGAAAATTTTCAGTACTGCAGTCTGAATCACACTATACATCCAAACTGTACTTTATCTTCTTGTTAATGACTACATAGTATTTCATTGGATAAAAGTTTCATAAGTGATTACATGAATTCCCAATTGATGGACTCTTAAGTTGTTTTCAATTTTTTTATGCACTTAAAAACAATGGTGCAGTGAGGTTTCTCAAAGTGATTTTTTTTTTTTTTGGCATATTTCTGCTATTATTTCCATGGAATAAATTCTGGGAAGTAGAATCACCACCCCAGGGAATATGGACAATTTTCAATTGTGATGGTTTCAAATTTGTTATTTCCCTGTTGTCTTGCAAGGTCCCACTCTTCTTGATAGTTTTTACTTCTTGCTTCTCTGCCAACCCTGAAGATGGTCATCCTGTTCAGTCCTTACCCACTGCTGGGGAAGAATGCATTATACCTTAACAGAGATTCTCTCTTGAGGCATAGTTATGTTTCTGTTTGACTGTTTCCTCTATAATTTTCTTTAATTTCCAAATTTTTGACCATAATTATAAAATTTATTAAAAGGAAGTTTGAGGGCTAAATAGTTTTCATGGTTGAGAGAAATCACATATTATTGGAGATTAGAAAAGATTGTTATGCAGGAGAGTGTGCACCTCCTAATGGATGGGCAGATTTTCTGCCTGCACAGAAATTATGATTGAAGAGAATCCCCAAGACCCAGGGAAGGAGGTGGAGATGTTGATGGGCAATGGGGAGTGAGCCAAGACTTTGGTCCCCAGACTCTGATTGGGTTGGGGTTTAGGAAGAAGGATGTAGGAGCAATGTCTCTCTGGGGAGAGCCCAGCCCTAAAGCAAGGTCCCCCATGCAGGCACCAGGTAAGAAAGATTAAACTATGCTAAAGCAAAGGGCCAGACAGGGAGACACCAGCTGTGAACACTGTGCAGGCACACATGTTAGGTCTTGAGGGCACAACCTTGTGCCTCTCATAAGCCAGGGAACCTCAGCTGTCCTTTGCAGAACCAGAGGGCTATGCAATGCAGATTTTCCTAGCTTGGCTGTTTGTGAAAAACAAATCCGGGTGGAAGGTTTGGAAGTCTTGTGCAATTTCTGGCTGGAGAGAGGTCAGTCTCAGGCTGGCAAAGAGAGGGCCATTTCAACCACAGTGACCGCCTTTTCCCTCAGGAAGATTGCATTTCTCCAACACATCAAAAAATTGCATGGGTTTTAAGTGTTTCATTTCTAGATCAATATTTTCTAAGGAGAGAGAGAAACTACAATTCAGGGGAAAACAAAACAGAAACAGTTAAAACTCTGGCCACTGGCCCTCTCTTTCAATTGCCAGAACATAGCGTCCAGGGGACAGTGTCACCCTTTATGTCTCCACATTTTTCGGCCAAATGTGTTCCCACCATCAGTCCATTCAATTCTCAAAAGAGCCACATGAAATAGGCCTGTTAAGTGCTTTGCTGGAGATGAAGAAACGGGCTTAAGGGGATAGCATTTTTAAAATAGGTCTCTGGCAACAGCGCAACACCCAGATCGGTCCCTTATAACCACAAAGTTCCGTTTCTCACACAAGCTACGCCTTGGCAGAGAGTTGGGTGTGGTTCCATGTTGTCTACAATCAGGAGCGGAGGGTGGAGCTAATTTGGGGGTGGAGGTGTTCTCATGGCCAAGAGGAAAGAGCAAGAAAGCTTTCTCTTAGAGTATCACTTTTGCTCACTATTCACCGAGCAAAGAGAGTGCCACCCTCCGCACTCCGTCAAGGGCATGGGAAATGGAGGACCCAGCCAAGGGCCTGCAGCCACGGCTGCTGGTGCCACTGAGTAAGCTTCGGACAGGGCAGGGGAGCGATTATGCCCGCTGCCATGGGGCCAGTGGGGGATGGGGGGGACTGGAATTCAAAGGCCCACCTCTCAGGCTCCCACCCTCTGGTTCTTTCTACTACAGTGCATTCCCTCTCTAAGCCCTACACAGGATTTTGACCCCTCTGATGGACCTCTCATTCCAGGACTGTGCCTTGTCTTCCTAGTCTTTGTCTGCATTTCTGTTCCGTGTTGTAAAGGGCCACTTGGGAGCCCCAGACTTCCCACCTGCAAAACATGACCTCTGGTTTGGGCCTCAAAGACCAGAATAACCCAGGGTGTTAAAACACTGACTCACGTCCCCCTCAAGCTCATTATCAGCTTGATTATCATATTAGCTCATTTCAATTCTGGATATATTAATTTGGCTTGTGGACCCACCCTCCCTGGATCTCCAATACATTTGGTCTCTCCACAAGGGTCCTCACTCTTCCGGGCTGCTTCCTAGTTTCCATCACCCCACTGTGAGGTACTAACATACTTCACAGCCACATGGCAAGCATAGGAAAGAAAAGAGGGCTGATCTCCCTTATGAAAGGTGTCTTCCCAGAGCCTTTCTTCAAAGGGCGTGTGCTGGTGGAGGGGCTACCCTCCTCCACCTGCGATGAACCTGCAGAAGCGAGGGCTCATCTCCAGTGTTTGTGCCCCTTCTTTTTCCATGTCCTATTAGCAAGAGTCAATTTTAGGAGCTGCAACAGCCAGGTCTGTGCAAACAAATTTTCTAACGATAACCGGACTAAATAGTTTGCCCAAGAAAAAACAGTGCTTTGTAATTGGCAAAATGCCCTCTCCGGGGGGTTTGAGGCTTGTAGGGTACTTGATGTGGATGACAATGAGATGTCTGGGGTGCTAATCCAGGGGTCTGGCCATTTAATGCTTACATCTGACAACCAGAAGGGAAGCAGAGAAAACAAACAAAAGCAGGATTACTACAAATAAGAGAGGCAATTTAGACAACCCAGAATCTAAAAGAGTCAATGAGGAAAAGCACTTACCAATTCATCACTTGGCTATTATTATCCTTAAATTTGGCTCCAGTCCCTTTTCATATGCATATAAAATCTAAATGCTTGCTTACATAAATTTGGGTATTCAGGTTTTAAAAAATTAACATGAGTAGGGGCCCCTGGCTGGCTCACTAGAGCTACCTTGCAGCTCTTGATCTCAGTGGCAGGTTCATGTCCCATGCGGGGTATAGGCCTTACCTAAAAACCAAAAGTTAACATTGATAAGGGTTCTTCATAATCTTTGTTTCTGACGGCTGAATAATTCTCTTACTGAGAGGATTGTTTACATGTTTTGTAATTTACTTAGCCCAACCCCCTTAATGCTGATCATTTAGGTGATTTTTATTTTATACTTTTGAAATTATAAAGAACACTATTCTGAACATATTTATACATTGATATTTATGCATAAGTAGGAACTTGTGGCTATCTTATTTTTTTAGGCAATGAAACCAGATTCCCATCCCAAGAGTAGGGACATAAAAATCATATTGCCTATTTCCAGAAACCTGAGGAAAAGTGTTAATTTTCTTGTGTGTTTTGGAATTTACAGGAAAGGCAACACCTTCAAGAGCTTATGACAATATCTGCAACCTACAACAGGAGATGTTATCAGACTAAAAGTTGGATGAAGTGTCTTTCATATGTCTGCACCCTTATTCGTGGGAAAAGTGGATCCTTCCTAAAAGAACTCTTAAAAAACAAAACTCAACTGAGGAAATTTTAAAGATCTTACTGGCTTTATTCAAGGTTCCATGAATGAGACAACATCCAACCTAGCAGACAGAAATGAGCTCTGAGGAACTGCGCAGAAGCAACTCAGAACAAGGAAATTATGCTGGACACTAAAATCAGGTTGGGTATCCCAAGGTCACTTTCATTTTGGAGGATGGTGGATTATCTATCTGGCTGGTGCAGATCAGGCGATTCCTGATGGACTGGCTTAAGATTCTATTTCTGGGAAAGTCAAAAACCGTAATTAAAAGTCTCAGTTTAGAGACGCGAGGCTTAAGTTTCGGCTTCATGTTGTGAGGCTTAGCATAAGCGACTCCATTTTGAGCACATTATCTTGTTTTAACAAGTTGTTATACATTTCTTTGCTAATCTCACTGTTAACTTTATTTCCAGTATGCTGTTGCTATTTAAGATCATGTTTAAAAAGAGTTCTAAGCAATGTGAAAAAAAAAAAAAAAGAACACAATATTGTACACACTACACAAAATAGCAGCACTTAAAAAAGACTGGAAAGAAAGGCATCGGAGGTTAAAAGTGTCTTGAGTAGTAGAAATATAGATATTATTTACCAAGCTAGATTTTGTGGGTTTTTTTTTCCAACATCTTTTTTAGGAAAAAAGATTTTATTTTAAGTAATCTCTATAGCCAACATAGGGTTCAAACTCACGACCCTGAGATCAAGAGTCATGCACTCCCCGGAGTGAATCAGCCAGGTGCCCCATGTTTTTTGAACATTCTATATTTTCAATAATGAGTATGCATTACTTTTATAAACCTAATAGGAAAAACCATTAGCTTTGGAAACCGAAAATGCAATGCAAGTGAAGGTCAAGCTGCGTGTGGCCAGCACCATTTATTGGCATCAGGAAATTGGAAACAGAAGCACAAGTGCTTGTACCATTTACTAGTTTGCTGATCACTACCGTGCATTAGATGTTGGCTATTTTGTCTACAAAGCATCAGCCTTCTTAATGTAGTTAGTGTAGCCACATGCAACATTTAAATACTGAGTATATTCCCAGGTCAGGTATGTTTCCAATTTTTCACTTCAGGAACTGATGGGCTGCTCTGTGTCCCACAGTTGAGGCAGACTGGCACAGGAGGTAAGAAGTCTGCTTTGTGGGGTGTGGAAAGCTGAGGTGAGCTTCAAGCATAAGAATCTGCCCTATTTGTTTTGTTTTTTTCTTTACATTTTTCTCCTCCTTGTCGTTGCAGGGCACTTCCTGGGTATGGAGTTCTTTTCTCATTTTGATTGATGTGTATAGCACAATATCCAAGTACTTAAAAATGTACTCGGATATTGTGATAGACATAGTTCCAATTAGTGAGACACGTTCAGCCATATTTTTAAGACTTTTTAAACTGTGAATCCACGGAAAATAAACTCAAACAATTTAAGAAACTGTTTCCCTCCCAATGGTTATGCAATGCAGCACAACCAAATTCTGAGTTTCTGAGTCTATCCTCCATGAAAGATACCTCCATGAAATTAAACTACCTTACTTATGCCTCTGTCTTAGGACTGCTGTATAAAATATAGGATATCCAGCTGAATTTGATTTTCAGATAAACAACAAAGAACTTTTAATATAAATGTCTCAAACATTGTATCCTACTTTCTCCACCAAGCGAAGCAATCCTTGACCTCCAGCTAGAACAGCTAGTCTCTGGAAAGGGAAAGTTTGTCAGGACCTTATGCTGTAGGGTATAAATGAGAGCACACTAGGCAGTTTGGACAAATGGCCCATTAGTTGCTTTTCTCAAGGACAAGATGGTTTTCCTTCTTGCGAGTCTGTTTGGGAACCCACCAAGGGAAGGTTACCCTGTAATCCTTGGCACATTCTCATCTCTAACGTGGACAAGGTTCCTGGATCCAGAGCCCGTCAGATGAACAGCGAGGGGCAGGACTGGGAAGGATGGGGGAGGAGGAAAGAGCTGCAGCCTGTGGGCTTGTGATCCTACCCCCAAACCTGATTATTAGTCAAGTTGCTAAACCCACAAAGTGCTTGGTGTAAGTGGATATCTTACCCCACTGAAGCAGCTGCACTGCGTCCGTGTGTCTGAGGGAAGGAACAGAAGCAGCTCACACAGACTCACAGACACTTAGATAATAGCAGAGACTTTGGGAGGGGAGCTCCTGGGAACCTACAGGAATGGTGGAAGACCAGAAGTTCCCTCTGACATCCGGGTCCCGGTTTTACTTGTTTTACTTTTATTGATTTTATTTTTTTAAGATTGCATTTATTTATTTGGCAGAGAGCAGGTAAGAGAGCAAGAGAAAGCACAAGCAGGGGGAGAAGCAGAGGGAGAGGGAGAAGCAGGCTCCCCACTGAGCAGGGAGCCCGATGCAAGACTCAATCCCAGGGCCCTGAGATCATGACCTGAGCCAAAGGCAGATGCCTAACCGACTGAGCCACCCAGGCACCCCAGGGTTCCAGTTTTAGAGTAGACAGAGCTCTGCCTATAATGGTATACAGTTGCATGGATTCAAATCCTGTATCAAATCCTGTACCTATTAGCTATGTGATAGTAGATCTATCACTTTACCTCTCTGATCCACAGATCGCACATTTTTAAAAAGAGAATGTTAACACCTGTATTCAAGGTGTCCTTGAGAGTTAAGTAAGACATCGTGGTGATGCCCCCAGCGCACAGTAAGTGTTTCCAAAAGCTTTACCTCCATTTCTCTCAGTTTTTCTATTTCCAGGAGATAGATGTGTTAGAAAAGTTCATTGGGTTGGCAACTAATCACACACAAACATTGCAGTGAGCAAAGCCTTGTTTCCCCACCGCTTTCAGGCTGCAAATGAGAAGGAAAGGAGAACAAGATGAAGTGAGAAGAGCGGGTTTAGATACAGGGACAAACGATACAGCTGATATACACCTGCCCTCATTTCCGGGTGCACACACACACACGCACACATGCACACACACATGTACCTGATTCATCCGTCCTCCAGCCAACTTTCTAAAAAGAGTTCAATAGTTTGAAATATTCATAGCAAATCTTTTCTCAATTTTTGGCATAATTGAGTAATCCAACTACTGAATAAAGAAGGACTTGATATTTTTGGCTTCCTGGAAACTGTAGGGGAGGAAAACACTTCCTTCTACCCTTCTAGGTTCTGCAGCTAGCTTAAGAATTAAGTTGACATAAGACAGATTAATCAGGAGGAAAAACTCCAACTTTGATTATGTACGTACTCATGGGGTCTCACAAAAATATGAGACCCAAGGTGATTCTCAGATGACTGAGATTTACACAGCATCTTGAAGTAAAGGAAAGGGTGGGGGGTGGTCAGGGCTTTGAGGTGGAAGGAGACAAATTCTGGCCTGGGTGAGAGAAGGAAGTGAAAACAGGCACAACCAGTAAATCCCAGGAGCCTTGTTGTGAAGATAAGGGCCTCTCAGGTGAAAGACCACATCTGGTATCTCTCCTCCTGGTGTATTTACTAAAAGAAATTTCCTTTATAAATGTAAATTTCCTCTGTAAGAGGGGAAGTACATACTTTTCGTAGGGGTCTTAGGGGGCGGTAAAGAGCTTTTCCTGTGCCTGCTGATTTTCTCTCCTCTTTGCCTCAAATAATCCATATGCCAAGGTGTCATATTTTGGGGCAGCATGTTCTGAACCCTTTACATTTTTTTCAACATGAAAGAACACAAAATGTATAACCTTTACCAAACTTTACTCAGAAATATCAGTGTGCTCACAATAAGGACTTCCTTAGGGCTGCTAGTGGGGATCACTGCCTCATCAAATCCATGTGGGGGCAAATCCCCCAGAGCCCCAAGAACAGAATTCAGTCTATCCTGAGGGTGTCCGACAGCTCAAGAGACTGAAAAGAAAATGGGATTGAACAATTTTTAATCCGAATGCTGAGGAACCACAGTGACTTGGACCTTTTGCCCTGGTTAGGTGTTGGGTGGGAGCAAGACCGGGGCAAAGACAGCTCGAGGGGAGCTGGGCAGGACCAGGATGAACTGCACACACCAGATATCTGCAGCACAGGTGCCCTGTCCCCTCCTCCTGGGAACTGAGAGCTACAGGAGCACCTAGTCATCATGCAAGGGAAGGGGGGAGTAGGGGTGACAGTGGATCTCAGGTCTGGAAGGTTTGGATGGTGGATAGGATGTCTTATCAATATCAGGCTTGCTTCCGATAGGAACGTTCCACTAGCATAGATTTAACCCAGAAATTAGGAACACAGACAATTGTTCGTGTCCCCAGTGGTTCTGGCCAGAAACAATTATCCGCTTGGCTCATTAAAACAAGTAACGAATGCTAATTGTCTCCACAATTAGCCAAGTACTGGTTCAGCCACTGTGCCTACAGTACGGGATTGCGAGAGTGGCTGGCAAGAGAAGGACTTAAATTCAGCCCTAAATAGTCTGTCATTTTATTTTATTTTTTTTCTCTTTATGCAAGGAGTGGGGGGTGCAGGATATAAAGAGGGAGGTTGGTCAAGGTGACCCCTACGCTATTTTCTAGCTTTCAGATATGGGGATTTGTGGTGAAAGCAAATGCATAGAATCATAGAGGATCCATTTCCTCTGAGTCTACATAATCAGGAAAGTCCCTGGAGGGAGGAAGGAGAAGGAAGGAGAAGGTCCCTGGAAGGGAAGGAAAGGGAGGAGGAGAGAAATACCACCCACACAAGGCAACATTCCCTGAATTTCTGGAAGTTTCCGTAGGCCCTATCAAGGTTCTCTGAGGGCTCCATGAAGACCCTGGGGTGGATATCCCATATTGCTGGATAAGGTCCTTCTTATGAAGACTCCAGCAGAGGGAAGATGGGGCAGGAGGCAGAGGGCAGTGCAGGGCGTTGGGGGGGTGGAGTTGGCTCAGATGCTCATACTTTCCTTCTGAAATTGCTCAAATGATGAAACTCTGGCTCTCTGCCCAAACATCCCCACTCTTCCCTTTATTCTGCATTTATGTCTAGCTTGATTTTCTATTTTGCCCAGATTTTCTGAGGACCTTGTCGTATCAGTTAGTTTCCAGTGGTGAGGCACCAAGAGCCCATGCAGCTTCTGCCCAGAGAGGACAGGGTGTGTCCCCTGCTAGGAATAGCAAGGGGATTCAAGCCCTCTGCCCTTCAGAGCAATACACTGGAGGGCAACCAAGGAAAATGGAAGGGATGTTAATAAAAGCAAATACAAGGCAGGAAGTAGAAAGAAAGAAAGCAAACAGGAAAGAAGGAAAGAAGGAAGGAAGGGAAGGAAGGACGTTTTGGTCTGAAGGCTCCCAAGTGAGAAGTTATTGGAGGCAAAGATACCCCTCTTCTCTCTCTGCTCCTGCTTTGCTACATCGCACGTGTACCCCTCTGCTGCAGATCTGATTGCCAGATTTATCCTAATATCTTAGTGATGGATGAAAGTTGAAATATTCATCAGCCCTGAAGTATTTATATTACAAAAATTAATACTTGAAAAGCACCCTGATGACTCTCTCCAAGGAGACCCAAGGTTGTGGGCAGTGTAGACATCCAGTACTGGCTGGTGTCTTAACCTCGATGACACTTGAACGAAAAAAGTAACAGTACAAATAAGTATCAAATTTGTGCCCATTTATTATTGCTAAATTTCATATTTCATGCCACTTTTTGTTAAAGATTTTACTTACTTATTTGACAGAGAGAGAAAGCACAAACAGGGGGAGTGCAAGCAGAGGGAGAAGGAGAAGCAGGCTCCCCACTGGGCAAGGAGCCCGATGTGGGGCTGGATCCCAGGACCCTGGGATCAAGAGCTGAGTTAAAGGCAGAGGCTTAACCCACTGAGCTACCCACATGAGTCTCACGTCACTTTTATATTCAGGAAATTTGCTGAGCAAAATGCATAATTAAGTATGATTTAGTTTTTATACATTAAAAAAAATCTTTTCATGGGCAAATTTTGCAACTCACATTTGTTTGAAGGATCCAGCTTGCTCTGTAATTGTTAAAATTTTTTTCAAACTTCTAGTGGGAACTGAAAAGCCTACTAGGATTATCAAGAGCTTTTTCCCCTCTTTGATCAGTGAACTCTTGAACTACACTGGGACCCTAGAGGGGATGGAGGGTCCCAGTGCTGGGGTGCTGGTGGGTTTTCCACTCTGACAACAGATACATAGGTGAGACGGTGGGAAGGTGTGTCAGGAAATTGTGTGTCACACGGGTTTTTGAATTCATGTGTTTTGTAGATGCTTACACTGTCAACTCCATGACTGCAGAAACCCGAACCGTGATGAGGCTTTTTCTTTTTTTCTTTTTTTTTTTTACATTTAAAATTTTTTTTAATTTTATTTTTTATAAACATATAATATATATTTTTCCCCAGGGGTACAGGTCTGTGAATCGCCAGGTTTACATACTTGACAACACTCACCATAGCACATACCCTCCCCAATGTCCATAATAACCCCACCCTCCTCTCCCAAACCCCCTCCCCCCAGCAACCCTCAGTTTGTTTTGTGAGATTAAGAGTCACTTATGGTTTATCTCCCTCCCAATCCCATCTTGCTTCATTTACTCTTCTCCTACCCCCTTAACTCCCATGTTGCATCTCCTCTCCCTCATATCAGGGAGATCATATGATAGTTGTCTTTCTCCGATTGACTTATTTCGCTAAGCATGATACCCTCTAGTTCCATCCACATCGTCGCAAATGGCAAGATTTCATTTCTTTTGATGGCTGCATAGTATTCCATTGTGTATATATACCACATCTTCTTTATCCATTCATCTGTTCATGGACATCTAGGTTCTTTCCATAGTTTGGCTATTGTAGACATTGCTGCTATAAACATTCAGGTGCACGTGCCCCTTCGGATCACTACGTTTGTATCTTTAGGGTAAATACCCAGCAGTGCAATTGCTGGGTCATAGGGTAGTTCTATTTTCAACATTTTGAGGAACCTCCATGCTGTTTTCCAGAGTGGTTGCACCAGCTTGCATTCCCACCAACAGTGTAGGGGCGTTCCCCTTTCTCTGCATCCTCGCCAGCATCTGTCATTTCCTGACTTGTTAATTTTAGCCATTCTGACTAGTGTGAGGTGGTATCTCATTGTGGTTTTGATTTGTATTTCCCTGATGCCGAGTGATATGGAGCACTTTTTCATGTGTCTGTTGGCCATCTGGATGTCTTCTTTGTAGAAATGTCTGTTCATGTCTTCTGCCCATTTCTTGATTGGATTATTTGTTCTTTGGGTGTTGAGTTTGCTAAGTTCTTTATAGATTCTGGACACTAGCCCTTTATCTGATATGTCGTTTGCAAATATCTTCTCCCATTCTGTCAGTTGTCTTTTGGTTTTGTTCACTGTTTCCTTTGCTGTGCAAAAGCTTTTGATCTTGATAAAATCCCAATAGTTCATTTTTGCCCTTGCTTCCCTTGCCTTTGGCGATGTTCCTAGGAAGATGTTGCTGCGGCTGAGGTCGAAGAGGTTGCTGCCTGTGTTCTCCTCAAGGATTTGGATGGATTCCTTTCTCACATTGAGGTCCTTCATCCATTTGGAGTCTATTTTCGTGTGTGGTGTAAGGAAATGATCCAATTTCATTTTTCTGCATGTGGCTATCCAATTTTCCCAACACCATTTATTGAAGAGGCTGTCTTTTTTCCATTGGACATTCTTTCCTGCTTTGTCGAAGATTAGTTGGCCATAGAGTTGAGGGTCTATTTCTGGGCTCTCTATTCTGTTCCATTGATCTATGTGTCTGTTTTTGTGCCAGTACCATGTTGTCTTGATGATGACAGCTTTGTAGTAGAGCTTGAAGTCCGGGATTGTGATGCCACCAACTTTGGCTTTCTTTTTCAATATTCCTTTGGCTATTCACGGTCTTTT